CTGTGAGGGGATATTTATAGGGCTACATGGCTTAATTGTTTGTGTTAGTATCCTCCTGACATTTGTTCTGCTAGTTATCTCTGAGGTGGATGGGTTCAACCTCTCAGCTGGATTGACCGAACAGAAAAGTGTTCCTGGGTCTAGGGAGGTCAGAGCCAACCACCAAAGTTTTTCTGGAGGGACCATTATGGGGAAGATCCTGGTTCCTGGCCCCTCCAGCAGTCCATAAACCCAGGAGGCATAAAGATTCTCCTGCAGAAATATCCCTGCATTCAGACTCTCTGGGAGTAGAAGAAAGCCCAGGCCCAACATGGTTTTATTTCCTCAGGCTGAGAAGCAGAGGAATAAGAAGCAAATGTGTCCCCAGTCTTTCTACCCCTGCCCCCAAGCAGGTTCTGAGAATCTGGTCCCAGTCAGGAACTTTAATCACAGCAGTATCTCCCCAACCTGCAAGTGGAGCCACTGTCCAGGGTAGAGGCAGTGGCAGGCCCAGAGCTCGTTCCAAGGGGAGGAGTCTGTATAATTAGGGATTCTGGACAAAGTATTGCCATGGAACAGCTAGTCCCTGTGTAGGAATCCAAGCACAGGCACTGCCTAGGTTGACTTCAATCACCAGATCACTTCCAAGATCAAAAACTGCAGCTTGAGGCTCTCATTAAGGGTGGCCAGCTGCCTGTTCCCAGGGAAGGACATGCAGCTGCTGGAATGTAGGAAACAGTGGCCAGGAGGGTCCACAGGACTGGCCATGATATCTAGACTGCCTGGAACCTACTTCCTAGCTTTCTACACTCAGTGACCAGCACCAGCTGGCACATCTATTCACGATGACTCTGGCCTCCCTTGGCCCTGGTCCCTTTCTGTCTCTGAGTCATGGGCAACTCTCCACAGTTTCAGGTTTCTGTCAGAATGGCAAGTGTGCACTAGAGCAGGGATATTGATTCTAAGGACTCTGCCCTGCTAGCTTAAAGAATCCCTGACACCTTCCTGTGAAGCCAGGAATTGGGGTAGGGTTTGGGTTGGGGGCAATTTTGCCTGATGGTTGGCTAACACAGGAAAGGAGAGGTATTGCATCGAGGGAACAGTTCAAGGCCCCCAAGGCTGGGAGACCTCCCCTTGCTCTGCCACCCTCTAGATCTGCTCCATCTGAAGCTTGCTGGAGACCCACGGGTGTAACAGTTCAATTGGGCGAGGCCTGTGTCACCCATCCACCCTTGTGCTGCATGAGGCCAGTGCCACTATTGTGCCTCTTGAGCCCTCAATTTTTCTTTCTTTCTTTTTTTAAATTTTATTGAATCACCGTGAGATAATTACAAGCTTTCATGTTTGGGTTACAATCACACAATGATTAAACATCCATCCCTCCACCAGTGCACATTCCCCACCACCAATATCCCTGGTATATCCCCCCTTTCCCACCCTCCCCCTGCCTCCATGGCAGACAATATTCTCCATACTCTCTCTCTCTCTACTCTTGGAGCCCTCAATTTTTCATAGTGGAGACCTGAGGTAGGGCTGCTTGTCACCGAAACAGGCTGAAGAAGCAGTGGCTGGGGGCCAGTGGGTCTATGCTCTCAGCATCTCTCTGGAAGCTTCCTGCCTTTGTGTTAGCAACCGTTAGTCTGGCTTGTGCTGGAACCTTCTTCATCCAGGGCTTTTCGGGGCTCTCAGCCTACCCTTCCCTCATCTGATCCTACGGTCTCCCTTTTTGAGGTTTCTTTCCCTTTTCTGAAAACTGCTTGGGGGATCCTTGCCTACGCCCACATTCCAGCCTGGTGAGGTCAGTTTAAGACATCAGTGTAAGGGAGCTGGGGGCTCAGGTTCCTAAAGCTTGGAATGAATGTCCTGTGGTGTTCAGGGCCTGTTGTGATCTGCTCAGATGTGCAGAATTGCCCACAGTCACTGTGTCTAGCCCCTGACTGGATGATGCCCAGGCCCCCAGGAACCCCAGTTATTCCTGTCTGCCAGCAGGGCCCTCCAAAGTGGTAGTGGGCATGGAACATGCTGTGTGAGTGTGCTCTGAGCATACCAAGCAGATCTGTCGAAGGTCGCCATTTCAGTGTCTGTGAATATTTTCAGCTGTTGAGGACTTGGCCCATGTGCTCATGTGCAGTTTATACTTAGTGGGCTGTGTAATATGCAGAGGCATTGCCAAGAGCAGCAGAAATGTGAATTTTTTTCCAGCATTATCACATGATCACATTCTACCACCACCACTCTCTTTGCCCCTGCCCCAGACTTATGACTTATGCTGTCCCATGTAGGGGCCCATGAAACAGTCAGGAGTGGCTGGGGTGGAAGGAGGACAAGGTCAGTGCTTTCTTTCTTTTTTCTTTTGTTTTTGGATCAAACCTGGCAATGCTCAGGGCTCTGTTCCTGGCTCTGCACTCAGGCATCACTCCTGGTGGTGCTCAGGTGACATATGGGATGCTGGGAATTGAAGCAGCATGCAAGCAAATGCCCTATCCACTAAACTATCACTACAGTCCCCAGGCCAGTGCTTTCTGAACAAGACTCCTGAATTCTCCAGGGAAGCAAAGTATAGAGGAAGCCATCTCTCTAGGTTGTGTCCTCAGAGTTAAGCAGAACTATTCTAGGGCGGGGGATGGTGGCTGAGGGGCTATTTTGGGTGTTCTATCTGCTGGGTGATCCAGAGCATTCATTGAGTAGATAGAGCGTTCACTCCAGGAGTAAGAGGCACCTTTAGGGACCTGGAGGGCCAGCTCAAGGTCTGCTATTGTTTCACAGGGCTCCTCAGCAACCTTGGGAAAAGTTTCACCAAGCCTTCACTTACCCGCCCTGAGAGGAACCTGATCCTAAGTCCCTCAATCCATTGTTAGGATGGGGGGAAGCAAAACAGGAAGCCATAAATAATAAAAATGTATTTTCTCACAGGTTTAGATATTGGAAGTTTGACCATAGGGTTAGCAAGGCCGGTTTCCTGAGGCCTCTCCTTGGTTTACAGATGGATATTATTTGTATGTGTACCCGTCAGTGTCCTAATGCCCTTCTTAGCAATACTGGATTAGAGGCACCCCCAGTGACCGCATCTTAATCACCCCTTTAAAGATCCTATCTCCAAATACTGTCATGTCCTGTGATACTGGGGGATAGGACTTTAACATATGGATTTGGGGTGTGGGAAGACCCAGTTCTGCTCATAGCTAAGCCCATAGATGCTGAATGCCTGGGATCAATGCCGCTTTCTCCAGGGGCCTCCGTCAGAGGGAACTTCCACTGTAACCTTGCCAAACCACCTTGTCTGCTCCAGCAGAGAGGGGGCTCTGAGAGGGCATAGTGTGGCTGGCCTAGGACTATGCAGTCTTATGCTGGCAAACAGTGGATATAGAGGGAGGCTCATTGTGTTTTCAGTCTGTCCTGACAAGAGGAAACTGGGGCTCTGAGGGGTGTCAGGGATGGCTCTCCTGTTGCTGAGCTGAGTAGCACTCAGTTGCCAAGTTGACCTCAAGCTGCACAGTCAAACACACATGGCCCAGCCTCTTCGCCTGGCTTGAGGGCCACCCTCAGAGTTCACACTCTGTATTAAGTCTCTTAGCAACGAAAACATGGAAACTGTTTCCATGGCAGCCATTCTTGGAGCCCTCAGATGGAAGTGCAAAGTTCAAGATGCCCAAGAACAACTGAAATGAAAATACAGAAAATCTGCCACTTTTCTTACTCCAGAAACATGAGTGGAATGGTGTCTGGCTTGGACTCACCACTCTGGGCCAAGTTTAGGCATGGGTGGAGAGCAGGGTGACCCTGGGAAGGAAGATGGCATTGTGCCCCCCACCTACACAACCCCCCAGAAACTTTGAGAAATCAGCCAACATGAAAACCAGGCCATGCTGAGTAGAAGGTGAAGCATACGCTACATGTTCTGCCCATGTGACCTCATGGCTGCTGGAGCCACTGAGGTCTTCTGTCATCTGGAGAGCTGGGCTGCTGCTTCTTTCTTAATATGGAGCAAGTCCACTCAGCCACCAGAAGGATTGAGTATAAGAATAAAGGAAATCATGGTGGACTCAGCAAGGGGAAGATGCCTGTTTCCTGTGAATAAGGGTTAGAACAGCAGATACTACTGTCTCTGGTCTGGGACAGCCTGTGGAGCAGTTCCTGTGTAGGCCTTGTGGAGCTACTGGTAACTGTTGATGCACCAGCCAAAGGGTTTTGCAGTCAGCAGAGAGGAGAATCAGTGCACATATTAAAGGTGCTGAAAGGTCACACAGTAAGGAAGACTCTGACTTTGTTCAGTCTAGTACATACATTGTTCAATTCCCTACATATATTTTTGAAAAGATGTTCCCCTATTTTAATATTCAACAGAAATAACATTTGTTAACATTAAGTGGGAAGTGATTCACAAAAGTGTTAGAAGCACCAAGGAACTTGTGGAAAAATGCATATTTTGGGCCCCACCCAGAACTGTTGAATCAGAAACACCAAAACAACTCTGAGAATTTTGACAAGCCCTTCAGGGGTTTCAGATCCTGTGCAAGTTTGAGAACCTGGCACTAGGGGGAAATGCTAGGAGAGGATTGGGAAGACCAGGTGGATTTGAGAATGCCATGACGGAAGGAGGGCTAGGAAACCCTGAGCGCCCATCACTCTTTTCTAGTATGAGCAAAGACTGTATGTCTGGAAGTGTCGGGAGGCTTGGCGCTAGATGACAGGGACCTGTAGTAGCTCCACACCCCAATTTCTCAGCCTCTGAGGACCAGCCATTCTGGGCAGATGGAGCAGTGGCCTCCTCTTGTCTTCCTAGACCTTTTTGGAAGGCCTTCGCAGTCCTGGGCCTTAGGGAACAATGACCCTGACTCTGTGCGTGGCAGTTTGGGCTTCCGATCAGCGTTGCCACCACCCTCTCATTTCTCTTCCTGGCTTTGGGGCCCTTTCAACTTTTCCTTCAAATACACTGGGGGCCCTCCCAAGTATAGAGGGAGGATTCATCTGGCCAGCAGAACTGGCAGCTAACGGGCCCTTCTGTCCGTGCTCTCTTGCAGCCGTCCAGATCCACATCCTGAAGGCAGACAAGGCGGGGGATTGGTGGAAGTTCACGGTGAACATCATCTCTGTGTACAAGCAGGGCACAAGCCGCATCCGCCGTGGCGATCAGAGCCTTTGGATTCGCTCACGGGACATCGCCTGCAAGTGCCCCAAAATCAAGCCCCTAAAGAAGTACCTGTTGCTGGGCAACGCAGAGGACTCACCGGACCAGAGCGGCATCGTGGCTGATAAGAGCAGCCTGGTGATCCAGTGGCGGGACACATGGGCACGGCGACTGCGCAAGTTCCAGCAGCGCGAGAAGAAGGGCAAGTGCAAAAAGGCCTAGCGCGCAGGCCTCGGCGCCAGCGGCGGGGCAGGCGGGGCAGGGGGCGGGGCCGCAGGCAGCCTGGCAGCCCCACCCCGGCCCCACCCTGTTTGTCCCTGGCTGCGGAGCTGCCGGCCAGGCCCTGGAGAAAAGAGAATTTAGCTACCTCACGGGCTCCCTCCAGAGCAGAGTCGCGCTTCCGCTTCCAGAGGACCAGGAGAGGGGGGCTTGGGGGGTGTCACTGTGGAGGGGGGCGGGGCACTGACCCGCCCCTCTCCTACCCCCGCCCTGGTTAGTGGCTGGTGATGGTGTAGGAGACGTGAGGAGAACTGTGAATTCTCGGGGAATGGGGACTGATGGAGTCTGGCCAAACCACCACCCACAATATACAAGACTAAAAGTTCCCACCTTTTCCCTGGCCTTTCTTTGGGAATTCCCACAGGACCCCTGGCTGTGACAACTAGGGCCCCTTCTGAAGGCACCTGGCAGGCGTTTTGGGGAGAGAAAAAGTCTTTCTCATGCAGCCTGTGGTCCCTACTGCCACCTGCTGACCTGGGCCTCCTGGGTGGGGTCGTGGGTCGGTGATTATAGTCTCTGGATCCAGAGGGGAGAGGAAGCCCCTGTTGGTGCCTCTCCCCGCCCAGCTGGGGATTGAGATGGGCCCAGGACTTTGCCCTTTGCCAGAGGGCAGTGGGCCCAAGAACACCCCTGAGAAGCCCAAGCCGGGTGGTCACTGCCTCATGCTGGAGCTGCCTGCCGGAGGAGGCATTTCGAAGGCAAAAACCTCCCAGTTTCCTTTCTGGAAACTTGCAACTAGCCCTTTTAATGACATTTTCCAGGGGAGGGGAACGGAGCACTGACTGGCTTTGCTGCAGTGACACTATTTGTATAATGACATCAGCTCCCACACGGGCCCTCCACTGTGTCAACAGCTGGGAATGGCCAGGATGGGCAAGGAATGCAGGCTGCAAAGGCAGACTCGCTGGGGGGAGGGGCCTGCCTGAGTCAGAGAGGCTTTGCAGGCTCAGTGAAGTGCCAGATTACTGGAGCCATAGGCAGGAAGGGGAAGGAATGGCCAGGTTCCTGGGGAACAAGGAAGCTATGATCACTTTCTGCTGCTGCTGCCTTCCTTGGGTCCCCAAGGGAAAGGACAGAGGCTGCAGGGCCAGGGGAGCCTATTGCTCCCCATCTCTCCTCCACGCTAAACCCCAGGACTGCCCTCTACAGCTGTCTTAATCTAGCCCATGTGGCCAGCCCCCTTTCCAAGGCTTCTTAGAAATGTAGCCCCTAAGTAGGCCTCTTGCTTAGCTGGGATTGTTTGGTCTGCTTGCCCTCCCTTCTGGTGGTTTAGGGACTTCTACCTCCTGGAATCTCTTCACTGCCCAGGGACTCGCGTGCTCTCTCTCTAACTCACTGATTTGGAGGTCTGGCTCATTCTCAGTCAGGAAACTGGCTTCATTTTCCCTGTTGGAGTTTGATTCATCAAAGGGGTCACACCAAGTATGAAGCTCGACCTAGCTTAGTCTGGCTTCCTTCAGTCTCAGCTAAAGCCCCCATCATAGTTGCCACTGACCAATCACCTGTTCGGTGGTAGGCACTTTACCCCCATGATATCATCATACCCTGTGACAACCCTGTGATACAGGGGGTTTTACCCTCTTTCACCAGAGATGAATGCAAGGCATAGGTTAACCAGGTCACTGGGGCTTGGGCAGTTACCAGGGTCCTGTGCAGACAATGTTCAGACTCAAGCCTTGCTTTCTGAGCTAGGGCCATTCTCCATGATAGTTCTACCACATATCAGGCTGCCATCAGAGCCTCCACTGAGACATTGACCCTGTTCAATGCAAGGTTGTCTGGAGAAGTGGAGGGGAAAGTGGGTAAAGTGACATCTTCAGAGGCAAGCAAAGAAGAGAATGAACTTGCTCCAGGGCAGTCCTGGGAGTCCAGGTTCCAGGAGTATCAGCCTCAGCTGATCTCAGACACAGTGGAGAGAAAGTTTGCCCCCCTGGCGGAGTTTGGAGGTGCTCCAGGGGAGAGTGGCAGAGATACCTATGGGGATAGGGAGAAGACTCCTCTGTGAACTGCATTTGTCTTTCTCGGCCCCACTCTGCTAAACAAACAGCAGCTCTCCTGAGGCCCATTAACATCTGGAAGGTCTCAGAACATTGCTGTCTCCTACATAGTCCACAAAAGGCACTGCATTGGAGCAGGTGTCCTATCTCTGTACACCAGTCTGGCTACAGTCTGGTATCCCCTTACCTCCCACCAGAGTTCTCTGTCGTCCCCATGTCCAGTGAAGGGCTAAGACCATAGGTCGCTTGAGGCCTTCTGAGTCAGCCAATGGTCTGCCAAGCAAGAGTAAATCTTGTTTTAAATTCAGGCAGCCTATAGCTTCGTTCTTCCTTTTGGCTCTCCTGAGGGCACAAGGCCAATTCCCAGGGTCCATGTCAAATCAGCCAGATCCGTGTGAGGACACTGATGAGACTTCAGCCACTATATGCTGCCCTTCCCGATCTCTTGGACCCAGCCCACGTCTCCTGATTTCAGCCAGCACTTTCAGCTGTCTCACAGTCCACAGAAGGCACTACACAGGGCAAGTGCCCCTCTTCTATGAACACCAATCTGGCTTCTTAATGGCAGCTCCTTCACCTCAATCTCTTCGACCCAATTGATCAGGAATCAACTGATTCCAGCCAGCACCCGATGACCCATCCTTGGGAAAGCACCCGTCTTCCACCCTCACCCCTCTCCCCAGGAGGAGGTGGAAGGAATTGAGGTGTTCCAATTTGTACAGTTAGGAAGGAATGCAAATGGAACTAGATTTTGAATTTGATGAGTGTATTAACCAGAATTGTGATATGTAGGTGTTTGAAGAACAACATATCAGATTAGATTTTTTGTTTGAAGATTCCCCAGTTGTTTATTCTTACCTGCTGGGTGGTCTAGAGCCCTTGGCAGTGGAGTGTCTGCTTTTCTGACACAGAGTAATGCCGTAAAAGCTTGGGATGGAGGGAAGGGGAAAGAATGGAGGCTGCCCCCTGGACGTGGTGGCCTCCTTGGGGGAAAGGAGAGTGAGAAGCAGCATCAGAATTGTCCCACAAATAGAAGGAATACTTGACACCTCCTGCGCAAGCCAAGGAGGCTAGGAGTTTCCCCAAGGCCTCTTGCAACCTCCTGGAACTCTGTCTCCAAAGTTGTACGCTGGCAATGGTACAGATTTGGGTTACCCTATGGTGGAATGAGACTGAACTCAAGGAGACTCTACGGTAAGGAACACTTTTAAATGGAACAATTATAGGGTTTCTCCAAATTCCAGGAAAGACTGGAGAGTGGACAAACTACACTCATTGATGAGGTCACTGAGTGCATGGTCATACCCTAGGGGTATTGCAGTTTGTACCTGTGGGGCCCTCCCCCTGCACAAATCCAGCAAGTCCCATTCCATGTGTCATTGGATATCCCTTCCCACTCCATTCCCAAATGCACTTCCCATCCTCCCTTAACTCCCTCCTGGATTTTGGAGTTCTGTTCACTCCGCATTGTAAATGTTTAGTTGTGACCACGACATATTGTTTGGGTTCCTTCCCAATACCTACTAATATATTATGGTTATTATATATGAATATATTTAATGACATTGAAAAGTTGTGGATTTTCTTTTTAAGTTTTCTTTCTTTCTTCTTCTTCTTCTTCTTTTTGGTTAGAGGTGTAATGGAGCCAGATGGAACTTGTAACGTGGGCTCCACATGATACACATGATAGAACTAAATTCAAATATCAATTAAATAAACTCTTGTACACTGTCTGTCTCTCAGTCTTCATTGTGCCTATGCTTGGGGCTTGGGAAGGTGGTGGAAGGGAGAAAAGTATATGGGTCAACAAGCTACTCAAGGAATATAGTTCTGGTCTAAGAATTCTTCAGGTCAACAAACCCCAACTACACAGAAAAGACAGGAAAAGGCGATTTTGCTTTGCAAGGACTAGTGGAATGCTGGCTGCAGATGCAATTTTGAACTAAAAGGTTACTGACTGGGACAATCTGTTTTCAGTCCTCAAGTAACCATCCCTGCACACCATCCTAACAATGTTCAGGGGTAAAAGAAGGACACTCCCACCTGCTCCAAATTCAGCAGCAGGACAGGCGGCTCCTTTGATCTTCCCACCTGCTCTAGAACCTGAAGATAAGGTTTTGTCTTTTACATAACCAATTTCTTCTATTCAAAGCCAAAAAGAAAGAAACTCATGAGGAAAGATAACAGGATTTGTGAAAATAATTTTTTTCCAAGCAAAGACTTTGATAGCTGCAGGGATGGGGTTGGTTCCAGCACCACACAGTCACCAGCTGAGCTCACTGGGTTTCTGAAGCTATATTTAAACTTCCAAATGGTTGCGATTTCTTTATTAAACAAACAATTCAGTCATTAGGAACATGTTGTGTTGCCATGCGAAGTGGAACCAAGCGTCACCAGGAAGCTATAATTTCAGCACACAGCTGTTTTGAAGTCACAGGGAAGAGCCTAGTCTGGTCTTGAGAAATGCAGATTCCACTGGCCCCTTGAAGGCATGGCCAACTCTTTCCCTTGTACAGAGAGCTGAAAGCCTTCAATTTTTCCTCAGGAAGAAATAGGTCTTGCCTTGCCTCCTCAGGGACTGGCTTCTTAGCAAGGGGCCTTGTGCTCAGAGAGGGGCATAACTGGTCTCTGGGATCTAGTCAGTCTAAGGGGCTTAAGGCTCCACTGGAAAGTCAGTGCTTGACATATGGTGGGCAGGCAGAGGCTGGACAGGCTGAGGAAAAAGCAAGCTTTAGTTACAGTCTCAGCTCTCCCAAGACCAGTTCACATCCAGTTGGACCCTGTGCAGGATTTAAGACCTGCTGAGACACTAAGACTAAGAGTTTGTGCTATACTGGAAGTTTGAGTCTCAACTTCAGACATTGTATTTCAAGGGTTCAGTCTACCCAGGATTTTCATGATGTGACTTTTTCCTGTCCTTCATACAAATGTCATCCGTGTCTGAGACTGCTGTTCCCTTTGGGATTCCACCCAAACCAGGCCTCATGCTCACAGCCTGAAGGGAGCACATTGTTGATCACTGACACAATCTAGCAGACCCATGCCTCCCCAGAGCTTATCTTTGGCTGAGAGGAGAAGGCATTGCTACCTGTCAAACTTGATGCAAAAAAGAAGCCAGGTGACTGCTTAGTACTTAGTGAAATGGAAAAATCCATTTTAAAGACTGGCATGCTGAAGCACAAGGAAGCTGAGTGATCCCTGTCAGGAACTCAGGGTCCAGTACAGTTCCAGTTCCATCAAGGGCCCAGAACCCTACCAGGTGAGTGCCTCCAGGGTCCAACCAGTTGTCAAGGAGCCCTCTCCTCTAGAGTTAATTCCCTTTGTTGGGACTACCACTTCTCTGTTTCATATTTTCTTGAACAGACATCTCTTTCCATAGTCTTCTAAGAAACATGAGAACTTTCACAAGAAAAATGAAGTAAAAGGAAGAACAG